AGCACATGAGTTGTAGATACGATTTTATTGATCTTATTGGCTGATCGGACATTGTGATAATTTTCAATCAGCACCGCGTGATCTTAATGAGGGTCAAAGTACGGCGGATCACCTAACTCGTCCTCAGTGACGAGTTCAAATCTAGTTATTTTTAGGTCTATTTATAAATTTGCCCCTAACACACTGGGCCCCAGTGCTTTGCACTGGCTGCACTGCCCGTAGCTATGCCACTGCTCAAAGTAGCTGGTGTTCTTATTAGTAGTTTGTGACTCAATATGGAGTTGGTTATATTTGAGCAGAAAATACATTCAAAACTTTTAAATTACCTTCCTGTTTGTCTTAACATATCCAACATCTTGGCTTGGAAAACAGGATCAACTGCTTCTACACTAACACCCTAAAAAAAGAATGTATTATTTACAAAATAAAATATAATTAGTAAAGCACTTGCCCATAACATAGTATGCAAGTGAAGAAGTATAATCTAAAATTATAGGAGGGATATGAAATTTAAAGTTAAAAACAAAAATTATATAAAATTATATACAAAAATTTAAATGTTTTGCTCCGAACTTACAGTTCCTGACTGTGGCATCGCAAAAACGTCAATAACTCGAACAGTGTAGTCATCAACAAACTCACCCAACATCAAACCCATAACTTCCATTGGTACACCTGCTCGACCATGCTTTAACATCTGTAAGAAGAAATTCAAAAACAACTCAAAGTCAATAAACAATTGAGCTTGGTTTAATTCCTGCCATATAGTAATCTCTATTTTACAAGTTAGTAAATGTTTTAATGTCCTTTGTTAATTTACATTCTATTTAAGACAGGACCCTTTTTATACCTACTGTATCTTGTTCGCTAAACAATGTATAGTATAAAAAAAGTCTTGCCAAAATACAATGTTAAAGATAAAAACTTTACTGTCATGAGTATTTATTATACAGCCATCTAGTCAGAGAATTATACAATGATCAGTGAAAAAACTTACTTTTAAGAGTGCCAAAGATGATATGTAGACTTGCTCTGCTGTGTCAACCATTGGAGCATCACTAGTTGTTGCACCACCACCGAGCCCAGACATTCCACCGCCAAGACGAAGTAAACGATCCATTATGACTGAAATACAAAAGGCAAATGTCAAGACTATTTATAGCACCAATATGCCGTACTTTTTTCACTTTATTAAACTTGATATTAAATACAACATGTTTTTTTCTTTTGCAGACATTGGCATAAAATGTTCCTGAATCAGTGATCTGAATGATATTGGTAGGCCTAGGCCTACAGAAGATTATAGAAGATTGGTTAATTTTATACCAGTAGTTCAAAAAATATTCTGTCAACTTTATGTACAAAATACTGTAGCATAAAGATTCAATTTATTTCTTTTTAGCACTTCAAGCATTTTCAATTAGTGTATTTATTGATATGATATAATCATTCATATAATGAACACCTAATATCATAGGCGGCACAGAATAGGTTTAACTTACTCCCACAATGTTTAAAATTATTACTATTATTATTACACACTCAACACCCACACACCACTTCATTAAGCCTCAATGGTTCTATCAGTTGTGTATCGCTGGGGCCAGGAGCATTGTGGCTTTCTGAAACTAGCGGCCCATTTTGCATCCCAGTTGCCAATTCCATTGTGCGATTTTAGGTATGCTCATTTTTCAATCATGCTTGTCATTGTATTCTATCTAAATGTTTTTAACAATGAAATAAATGATATGATATCAGCAAGAAAATGTATGATTATGGCACCCGTAGATCCCCAAAAATGTCATTATAGACTTAAAATTTGAATATAATTTTCTTTTTGCACAACTGCCGCACGAGAACACATGTGTTACGCCACTGCTTCTATTCGGCAAGCCGGAAGTCCCAAACCAACATTATTAAAATTATAAAGAACAAAGACAATAAAAAAAAACCACATGAACACATCATTACAAGCAATACTACATAGTCACAGTGGATGGACTGCATCCATCTGCCTTTCAAAAACAATCTCAGAAATGGTTTTTTGCAATTAGGCCTAGGCCAGGTCTATATGTCTCAGAATTCATAGTAGAGTCCTAGCCCTCTCAGTCTGTGGTCAGCCCCTTTCTTTGTTTAGGTTAAAATAGTGTAGCGCCTGTTGCTAACAGATGTTGTTAAGTATGCACTGTGTTCACGCAGATGAACCTCTATAATCGTCATCAGCGTGTAGCGTAGAACACTAGTGCATACTAACTTCAAATACCGAAATTGGACACTTGAATAGTCGGCAAAGAACAGAACAGAGCAGTTTATATTTGTTATCTTTGAGCGTCCGTAGGACCAGTTGATTACCTACCACGCACGGTAAGTGGAGTTACTTATTTAGGCCACGGGAATGAAAGTTGTAGGTTTGCGTCCACCGCCCGCATGCCTAAAAAGCTACCGCACGAAAATTTTCATTATTTTGAAAAGTTCATTATTTTGAAAAAAAATATACTTCGTTTTAAAAAAC